AGAGAGAAAGAGTCAGATAATGTATTCCAGTCTAGGGTATACCATAAAATCACAGCTCTGATCTTTGATTTTGTGAGGGCTTTCTACAAGGCTGGTGATCTAAATTTCCTTGACACCTTGTGCTCCTTTCTTTTAAGAGAAATGCTTAATTTCAAGTGGCTGAAACTTTTGAGCATCTTCATGAGGAAATGCATTAGGTCTGCCTTACTTCCTGATTTTATGAGATCGTGCTGAAGCTCTGCTGTGTAATCATCATGTCTGACCACAGCACCCTGGACAACCCACACTGTTATTTTCTAAGGACTACAAAGTTCGTGCTCACTTTAATTTACGATTGCAGCAACTCCAACAGAGACAAAAGTGGAGAACATAAGCACTATCGATAAGCTTCTGGTGTCATGTTTTGACACCTCACAAACAGAAGGAGAAAGCAAATAATATATTGGGAAAAGTTCGAATGTAGTGCATGAAAACATCACGTTGTTCGAAACATTTATTACGAACCCTTCTGGTTTGGCTTCCTGTCATAGACTTTCGCTCTTTCAGACTTCACAAAGCATTTAATTGGAATGGAGTGAATATTTTTAAATGGTTAAAACAACAGCAAAAACGGATAAAGTAAATTAAAAAAGAATATGAAATTCAATATGAATAAGAAAATGAGAAGGACTGAATATTTGTAAGAATGTGGAATGATAGTCTCTTATCTAGAATATCTGATTCTGCCAGCAGAGGGCGTGTGAACCCCAAGCCTGCAAACCTCCCGACGTCAACGCTTCGCTTTCATAATTTGCACAAGACGCCAGAGCATTTGAACGACATCTTCATTCAGGGCGTACTATTGCTTTTTGAAAGCCGTATCGGTTGGACAGTGCTGCAGGAGCTGCTGCCACAGTGCTCATAAACGCGGAGGGCGAGGAAAAAGAGCCCGGGAGAGGGGTCTTTGAGTTCGCCTGCCGTTTGTAAGATGACCTTCGCGCCTGTGCTCTTGTCACCTGATTGAAAAGCGCCGTAGCCTTCTCCCTGTGACCTCACAGCGTGCGCTCCTGCTATATAAATACAGCACATGATAAATACAGCACATCACATGGCCACCGGCCTAAGACCCTAGGTATTTCAGTGACTGTTTCAACAACAGATCTCCAGGCACCTCACTCTCCTATATCACGTTTACAAACAGCGCACCCAGGCCTGCTAACCATTGTGCTAACCGTGCTCCCAGCACTTAGTATGCAAAGTACAAATAAGTGACAGACTTGCTATTCTGAAAGGCCACGCAATTTGCATACTTTGTGAGAAATCAAAGGTGGGATGTCATACTGTAGTACCAAGTACTGTAAGTGCCAGTTTAAGCAATGTGAACTACAATAATAATAATAAACTTTATTTTATATAGCGCCTTTAAAGATGGCTTCTCAAAGCGCTTTACAGGATGACAACAACAATAAATAAGAAGAATACACAAGATAAAACACAATTACAATATACAGAGGAGACCGTGGATGGTGGTACTAAGAAAAGCAAAGGGGTGAAGAATGGAACCAGTTCAGTAAAGGCTCTTCTAAAGAAGAGGGTTTTGAGTCTGGATTTGAAGGAGTTTAGAGAAGGAAGAGTTTAGTGCGGAACTCATCTCACTGCCCGTTCTGAGACACACAGAGGTGAAACAAGTGCAATACAAAATCAAAACCTGGGCTCATGGTAAATACTTTCCTTTCTGATTGATGAGTTCCGCACTGCACTTTAAAGGGGAACTGCAATGCTATTTCGATAGTTTGGGGTTCACTGCCCGTTCTGAGACACACAGAGGTGAAACAAGTGCAATACAAAATCAAAACCTGGGCTCATGGTAAATACTTTCCTTTCTGATTGATGAGTTCCGCACTGCACTTTAAAGGGGAACTGCAATGCTATTTCGATAGTTCGGGGTTAGAAAGTATCAGCATTTCAGACCACAATAAAAGTAAAATCTGCACAGTAACTTGTAAAACCTCCAATTTACATCCCAAAAAATACTAAATTTCCAGGTATGCACAGCTCCATATTCTGCGATTCAGAGTGAGCCAACAAAACTTCTAGTGATGTGAAGCGGCCTTATTACATTGTAAAGAAGCAGGCTTGTGAATACATCTCTTTTAATCCAATAGAAGTATTGCTCTCAATTGTGAGGTGGTTTTGTCAAAAAATACTACTTACTTGCTAACTCTGCATGCAGACCATGTTGGAACATTCCTGCGGTGAAATGTCTGCTGCACAACCTGTACTTATTCACTCGTCCATCACAGTACATCAGTCAGTACAGGGACTAGTGAGCAGGAAGGGCAGCTTCAGATCACAATTCTCGCAAACTCTCCCTCTCGACTGTGGCGAGACCAGGGGTTTGCGACAAACTGGAGACCATACGTTACTTCCACAAAGTTCACAATTTTGTGCTTAGTTAGGAATTTGTTAATTGTCAATTGTCAATTATTTTTTTTTTAACTGGAGATTTAATAACCAGACAGAGAAACTGGGACAGCTGTTCCCCTTGAACGTTTACATCCCCGGTGTCTTCCCGATCCCCAGCGACAGCGATCCCAGAACGTGCATCCCGTCTTACCGTTGTGAGACATTCCCACGAACAGGCACTTCTGGAATCGGCAGTATTGGCACTTGTTGCGGTTCTTCTTCTGGATTTTACAGTTCCGTTCACATTTGTCATATTCCAGTTTCAGACGGATCGTCCTTCGGAAGAAGCCCTGAAAAAAAAACGAAACGATGGTAAAAAAAAAAAATCTAATCTCATACCAAAAAGGAAAACTTGTGCTTGGGGGCAATTTAAGTTCCTTCAGTCACAGGTTTCAGTCTCAACCCAGGCCGAATAATGGCATACTGAATACACAATTCTGATTATTGTATGGGATCTCACAGTATAAGCGTCTTACTACAAAGTAATAATTATAATAATTGCTTACACTTATATAGCGCTTTTCTGGACACTCCACTTAAAGCGCTTTACAGGTAATGGGGACTCTCCTCCACCACCACCAATGTGTAGCCCCACTTGGATGATGTGACGGCAGCCATAGTGCGACTCAGCATACACCAGCTATCAGTGGGGAGGAGAGCAGAGTAATGAAGCCAATTCATAGATGGGGATTATGTGGAGGCCATGATTGATAAGTGCCAATGGGAAATTTGGCCAGGACACCGCTACTCTTTTCGAGAAACACCCTGGGGTTTTTAATGACCACAGACAGTCAGGACCTCAGTTTTACGTCTCATCCGAAGGACGACACCTGTTTACACTATAGTGTCCCGATCACTATACTGGAGTATTAGGACCCACACAAACCGCTGGTTGAGTGCTCCCTGCTGGCCCCACTAACACCTCTTCCAGCAGCAACCTCAGTTTTTCCCAGGAGGTCTCCCATCCAGGTACTGACCAGGCTCACCCCTGCTGAGCTTCAGTGGGGCTGCCAGTTGTGAGTTGCAGAGTGACTGCACTCTATGGCTGCTGCTTAAGTAAAATTGGCTTCACATTTCTATTGCCAGCTGACACCTCTATTATGTGCTACATCTGGATGGGGCCATTCCAGCTGTAATTGACTATGAAATTCAAAACTAGCTCTTAATGAAATACAATGAAGCTATAAAAAAACCAAAATATGCTTATTTTTCTAATTTTGCGCAGGAAAATACGAATGATCCCAAAATCTTTTACCAATTGATGTTATTAAATCCTTCACACACACCTGAAACTGATGCTTTGAGCTCACTAAAAGTGAAGGATTCCTTACTTATTTTCAAAACAAAATAGTCACTATTAAGGTTAAGATTTCGATAAAAGATTCTGATTTAAGTGTGCCATTAATTATGCCAGTTGAATAAGAAAAACGTTTGCTGTTTTGTAGTTAATTTAATTTTAATTGTAGGGCACATTTTGTTATGTTATTTCATCATTAAAAGCACTCTAAAATACTTCACTATTAATGTTAAAAACACCTTAAGTCTTTAAATCCAGAGGATGCTTTATTTCTTTTTTTAAAAATAAAAACAAGGTCAATTTTAAATTTCAAACGAGGCCTAACATTTAGACCAGGCCAAGTTTTTGCTGTCTGCCAGGTTTAGGATATTTTTAAAAAATGGGTTTACATTTCCAATTATTCCAGGTTTTTATAAATATCCATGTGTATATACTGCTGCTTTCCTTGCAGGTTGGAACGAGAGACAATCTCTAAACAAGTCAAGAACCGAACTCACAAAGTCATGAAAGTACAAGGAAGATTCCAACAGATGTAAGGATCACTGCTCCAGACATTTGACTTTTGTCAGCAGAATATTTGTTGCAAGACTTTTGGCTATTGTAGAAATAATAAAAATTAATGCTGTGTATTATACAGTAGCTTTGTAGTGGATTTACTGTCAGTCTGTGTTAACACCATTGTAAGTCGCACTTGTAATTCACCCAAATTGCTTGCAAAGCTAGAATTTTATTTTAGGTCTCAATTTTCAGCTCTTTATATTATTACTTTTTAAAGGCATTGCTTAAAACAACTGAAATAGCAACAGTCAACCTATGCCAGCTATAGATGGGGGGGGAGGGGAGGAAACGAAATAAAGATTGCTTCAGAACACATCCAGCATTATCATCCAGAAATGTTTCCATTATTACGAAACGGATTAGTGCAAGTAAAGCTGCTAAATCGAGCTGTCTTATTGTTGCCATGTGCTTACAACAGCGGCTCAAAGCTGATTTACAGTTCTGGTCTCAGTGTGAAGCACCGAGTTGAAATAAGGACACACAGATTCCAGAGGGGAGCTCATTCACAGCGAGTAGCTATTGGCTCTGGGCTGTCTGACCGGTCGGAGTGGTGGCAGCAGAGCCTTTGTGAATGAGTCCATGTGCCTGCAGCAGTGAGCGTGACCACAGAGCTCGTGAAACCAGGCAAGACCAACCCCAGGTCACCGGCATGGTCATCAAAAGCAATTGTGTTGCTCCATAGGGACAGACTGTGGTGTTTTGTTTTAAAAGCAGCAGGGGACAGGTCACCAGTTTTTGAGAAAATCCATCTCCTAGACTTTTCAAAACAGGACAGATCACCCCTGTATGTATATATACATACAGCATTATGGTTATCATGAAGGTGCAGTCTTACTAATTTAAGTCATAGGGATGCCCTGTTGCTGTCACTATGCAGGAGAAAACAATGTCTTTGGGTTACATAGGTGCAGCTTAACCTTCTGAAAGACAAACCAGGCTCATACCTAATTTATTTCATCTGCTCTTTAAAAAAAGAGGTACTGTAGCACTCATCTTTAACAGAAAGCAAAATAATGGATTGGTCTCCCCAGTTTGAAGTTAAAGACTTATACTTCCAACAGGTACTGTACCAAATAAGATAGAACAGGGTCTACCAGACTGCCTAACAAATGATCTTTTGTTTTTTTCGTATTTTATGTAATTAATTAATTCTCCGAGGCTACCTCAAAGTGTGGCTGTATTATGAGCATACAATAGTATAAAAGAAATACAAAATTGTACAAGAGCAAGTAAGAGATAAACAGTAATAAAGTCCACACATTGAAGTAGAAATATTCACACTGTGCAGAAATATAGAACAGAAATGTTGGTACTGCTATTGCACACGTTCAGGGTACAGAGTGTTCAGTGTAGTTGTGCACACCGGTGCCCTCACTCACCTTGCAGCCTTCGCAGGCATGAACTCCGTAATGATATCCAGAGGCCCGATCTCCACACACCCGGCACTCCAGGTTGAGGGCGGAGGAGGAGAGCTCGTCCTGGCCCGCCACAGCCCCGAAAACCCCCGAGGAGGGGCTGGAGGCGGGTGTCAGCACATCTGAAAAGCAACGGTGAGAAACTTTGGCCGCCCAGCGCTTTTCATCTCGAGCCAGACAACGACACCACCGCCATTGGTCAGTTGACCTCCAAAGACGGCTCCAATTCCCAGACGGGCCATCAAAAACCTCATTTTCAGGAGAGATTCCTACAGCACGCCTTACTGCTCAGAAGCGGTAACTGCACACTTTTCTGATTTAACCCCAGAGTACAAGCTGAGACCTGTTAGCCCAGATTAAAAATGAAAAAGTCTGGATTTCTTCATTTGGTCATCCACAAATGTTATTATCCAAGGGTAACCATTATGACAGGCTAATGACTGGCTGGGCCACTATCGACCCTCAAGGCTTTCAGGAAAAGTCTCATAATTCTCCCACTGAATGTCAGCTCTCCTGTCGATACTATGGAGGGAGGCGCAGTGTCACAAATGGCAAGTTGTTCTGACAGATGACACGTAGGGGAGAAGGTACAGACTTTCCTCCTTCATATGAATAGCTATAAAGCAGGATTGATCAAATTGGGGATAAAAAAAGAGAGAGACAAATACATGTGCTCCACAAATGTAAGGATCAAAACAATGTGGAGCTTATTGTGGAGCCACAAAGTGCAGAACTACAACCTGGATTGGATGCCATACATATTGTAGGGCATACATATACACGCACGGAGATGCATACAGTCAATTCAGGGATAGCAATTACTGTATGCCCCAGTCCAGAATCCAGTCAAACTGAGACCCAACAGCTGTTTATCTCCGGTGTCTCACACCACACCGCTGATCATATTTTGTCTACTTCAAGCTTTGACACAGCAGAAGAAATGAAAATGTCATATTGTTCAATGATATTCTCATAGGGGAGCACAGTGGCACAGTGGTTAACACTGCTGCCCTGCAGAGCTGGGGCTCTGCGCTTGTTTCCAGAACTGGAGTGCTATCTGGGTGGAGTTTGCATGTTCTCCCCGAGTTTTTCTGGGTCTCCTCTGGGTGCTCTCACAGTCCAAAGAAATGCTGGTAGGCTATATGTCTTCTGGCAAAAACTGGTGTTAGTGTGTGTGTGTTTGCATCAGTGTGTGCCCTGTGACGGACTGGTGTCCTGTCTAAGTTGTACCCTGCCTTGTGCCCACTGCTTGCCAAGATGGAATGGAAGAAGCACTTAGAAAATGACTAGATGGATATTCTCAAAAGAAAAGTTAAATATTATGTGGGCAATGATCTTGTCTTCCATAATCAACCCAGACATGCAATCCTAACTTAACTACAAAAAAAACATTATCTAGATGAGACAAATGCTCTACCGTCATTAATAAGCTTTCCTGTGTTCAAAGGCCAATCATTACAGAGGAAAGGGTGCCAAAACACCCGTTTTTCAATGGCATTTTAAAACAATATTTTCTATGTGCAATAGATATGAAAAACTCCAAAGATTTCTCCCAATTTTAAAAGGTGAATTTATCCTGGCATTGTAATGGAGTAAAATCAAGTTTAAAAGTGAGCTAGCTTTATACTGTATATCACATTAGTTAAAGACTGTTTTAATGTACTAGCTGGATGAATTCAACAGCACAAAGCACAACACTGGTTTCACTAAAATTAAAAACACAGACTCCCAATAAAGAGAAAAAAGTGAAAGTTCAAAGTTCCACCTTCTTTGCTCATACTTAACTATATGTGACTCCTTCAAGGATTTTCAAAAGAGATCAAACTCCTTTACCAATCACATTCTACGTTTCACAATTATTCCATGCATTATAACATGTTTTTCCCTGCTCTGTCAGAAAGAAGAAGAATAAAATCCCAGAAACTAGCAAGACTTGTTAATTTTCTGGAATCAGGGTCACGCAATGATGTTTTGACTTTTCCAAGATAACCA